TATAATGTGGAGAGAGAGGACAACCTCTTCAATAAATGGGGTTGGGAATACTGAATAGCCACATGCAAAAGAATGAAACTGGACTGTGTCTTACACCATATACGAAAATAAATTCAAAATGGATGAAAGACTTGAATGCAAGACCTAAAACCATAAAACTAGAAGAAAACATAGGGGAAAAGCTCATTGACATTGGTCTTGGTGGCAATATTTTGGATTTGGCACCAAAAGCAAAGGCAATGAAAGCAAAAATAAACAAGCAGGGCTGTATCAAACTAAAAAGATTCTGCACAGCAAAGGAAACCATCAACAAAATGAAAAGGCAACCTACAGAATAGGAGATAGTATTTGCAAATCATATATTTGATAAGGGTAAAATATATCAAGAATTCATACAAATCAATAGCAAAGAAAACAAACAATATGATTGAAAAATGGGCAGAGGAGCTACACAGACATTTTTTTCCAAAGAAAACATGCAAATGGCAAACATGTACATGAAAATGTGCTCAACACAAGCAGTAAGTATTGGCAAAGATGTGGAGCAAAGGGAACCTTTGTGCACTTTTTGTGAAATGTAAATTGATGCAACCACTATGGAAAACAGTATGGAGGCTGCTAGAGGGGGTGGGGTGGGGCAAAAATGGATAAAGGTGGTCAAAAGGTACAAACTTCTACTTATAAAATAAGTAAATTGTGGGGATGTAATGTATAGCATGCTGATTATAGCTAACAATACTTTATCATATTTTAAAAGTTGCTCAGAGAGTAGATCTTAAAATTCTCATCACAAGAAAAACAAATTTGTAACTATGTGTGGTGATGAATTAACTAGATTGATTGTGGTGATCATTTTGCAACATATACATTTATTGTATCATTATGTTGTACACCTGAAACTAATATAATGTTACTAGAGGCTATCAGGGGTGGGCAAACTTTTTGACTTGAGGGCCACAATGGGTTCTTAAACTGGACCGGAGGGCCGGAACAAAAGCATGGATGGAGTGTTTGTGTGAACTAATATAAATTCAAAGTAAACATCATTACATAAAAGGGTACGGTCTTTTTTTTTTTTTTTTTAGTTTTATTCATTTCAAACGGGCCGGATCCGGCCCGCGGGCCGTAGTTTGCCCACGGCTGGTAGCTGCACCAATTTGTACACGGGTGGGGTCCCTCAGCCTGGCCCACAATTGGGCCCTCTCATCCAGTCCAGATCGGCTGGACATCAGCAGCAAGCTAACCTACTAGTCATAGCGTCTGTCCCCTGGTGGTCAATGCGCATCATAGTGACTGGTCGAGCAGTCGACCGAACGGTCAACCGATAGGTTGGATCCTTAGCCTATTACGCTTTTATTATATAGGATATGTCAATAAAAACAAAATGGGAGGTATTTTACTGTCTAGTATGATTTTCTGAATAAGAATAAGGTATAAATTATAAATAGTAATGATTCTATAATGTTCCTGAGGCACATTCACAACAAATATAAGTAATACACTCATTCATGACACTGGATATCTCTAGGCCTCAATTTCTTCTGCTGTGAAATAGCTATATGTGTTCATTGCTAAAGTGTAGAAAAGGCTAGGATTCCATAGTTTTGGTTGTGTTAAAAGCCCAATTTTGAAAAAGTGGTTCTCAGTTGAGTATTAAACAGGTATAATTGAAATAATTGGTGCTTATAAATGACAAATATCTACAATTATGCTGTCATTTTCTATCAATGTCAGACTATGCTTGCTTCTTTACAGTTTATAATTTATATCTGCTTAGCCTCAAAAAAATTTGAAACAATATTCAAATGAATAAATGTAAGATATCAAATGTCCCTGAAGTAATTACTAACACTCGGGAATATCTGCCTCCAGATTTTGTTCTATGTGTAGTTACACAAACACATGTATTGTATTTATTTTTTTGTTTATTTATTAATTAACACATGTCTTTTACCATAGTATTCTTCAAGTATTACTAACAAATGTCAACAGACCAACTGTCTTCCATATTTATTATACTCTTACAAAGAATCCAAGCAAACAAACAAACAAAAAGCCTGGTTTAATTTTCCCATAAGCTTTATCTGTGCTAATTTTTGAGTGTGTTCCATCACTTACTGTTTATAAAAGAAAAACTGCGTTATATACTTCTTCAAAAAATGTCTGAGGCAATTTACAAAAAATTATAATAAGACTAAAATAAAACCAGAAAGAGCAAAAAATGGGGTAGAAATAGAAAAGATGGAAAAATAGAGAGGGGGGATGAATTTTTCAGGGAACTAGGAAGAGCTGTTTATAAAAACTGCATATTGAAGTCAGCATTAAGATTTTTGACTGTTTAAAAAAATGTGAAAACATGGCTTTTTCTTAATAATTCTTACCAAAGACTGAACATAATAATCACCAATGAACAAGTAACATTTAAATAAAGGACGTTTTTAAATTCTTTTGAGGTAGCAGTATTCTACCTCAAAATTATACTTTTATTCCACAGTCATCTTGCTGTTTTCTGTTCCTTTCTTTAAGAAGTTTTATAGAATGCAAGTAGGTTTTAATAATGAAAACACAAGACTATTATGGTAATGGAAGCAAGGATTAAAAATTGTATCCATGACCAATTCATATCAGTTGTAGTTTTTGATCCCCTGAGCATGATTGATTTTATTTATTGCTTTGTACCCTCCACCCTAGTTATAATCAAAATGAAAACGCCTTCCTGGCCCGAGACTTAGTTTCCTCTCTGCTCCCGCTGTCACTGCCCTGGCTGAGGCCCCTGCTTGCCTTCACCTTGGCTGCTCAGAGCATCCTTTTCAGCTGCTCGCTTTGCCTCCAGGGCCTTCAATTTCAAGCATCCCATAAATGCAGCTATATTAATTTTTCTAAAGCTGAGCTATGAGTATGTCTTTTCTCTACTAGCATTCTTTCCTGCCCACTCACTTTATGATAGTCCTGAGTGTATCCCCGATTTCCTCCCAAACTCTCTCTTCTCACGGTGTACCTGGGGATACCCTGCTCTCTAGCCAAGAGGCTTGTTAGTGACTAAATGAAATCTGTGTTTTTCATCGCCGTTCATCACCTCTAATAAGACAAATAAATGAAGACAATAATAATAACTGAATATGATTACTATGGATGTCACAATTCTTTACAGATATTGTATAGTTCACATTCTCCTCTAAATCTAACAAGTCACACTCATAAGAATCTAAGTTAAGGAGGTATGCTTATATTTATAACCAAAAGTCCAGCACTATCATTTCATATTTACTATATAAAAAATTTATTATTTTGCTGCTAATATAAGATTTCCTTTCAGTTGCCAAGGTAAACTAGGCCAGCTGGCAGGATTAGAGTAGGGGAAAGTCATACAACCTTGAACTTCCAGACAAACAAAAACAAATGAAACGTAATTTACTGACCTGTCTTGTTAATTTTGGTTCATTTGTCAGCATAATATCACACAAACAACTTAAAGTAGATATCAGGAGTCCTGGAGTTTAGTCCCATTTCTGCCATGCCCAACTATGCAACTTTCAGAAAATCATACAACTTCTCTGGTCCTCATTTTTTTTCATTTACAAAATTGGAATCTGTCTTGCTTTATTCAAACACTATACATGCATAAGGAATTATTACTATTTTATTTGCCATTCCCTACAACATAGCTCCTTTTCTATATGCTTTTCAATTCTCTACTGTTCCGAAAGCTTTTGTGGACCCCATAATTTCATTCCAATGACACTGAGAATTCTAGAGAAGGAAGCAAACACCAAATATAAGAAATGATGTTCAAATATATTGCTTTCTAGATTAGATAATCTTGTAGGCCTTTCTTAGCTTTAAAATAGGAAGATTCTATATTCAAATTTATGTCTGAAATTTACATATTTCTTGTATATAAAGAAAACTTCAGATATATAAACAACACCCCATATCCTGAGAAGTGTTTAGACATGCCAAAATTTCCCTGTCTCAGGATTCTAGACCTCATGAAGGTTTAGAATGTCTTTTTCCCTCTCAGGGACATGATACTTTGCAGGCCACCCCACATCTCTTGTAGTAATTCACACTACAATTATTCCTTTATATTTGAATATAGATTTAAGTTTTAAATAAACCTGTGGATTCAAAACAACAAATTACTAAGACATATTTTATGTTAATTCTTGTATTGCTAGTTGTGACATGAGAGATTCCGAAGAGAGAAAAATCCCACCAATGTCTTCTTGGGAGGGAGAGACAAAGGTTCTCAAAATGTCTACATTGTGAGATATGAAATTATATAGTGAAGTATATATAGCACCCAGGACAATACAGCAACTGCTTTTTCCACAAAAGTAGGCTGGGCATCCTAATCCAAAGAGTCAACTTTAAAATCAAGATGGCAATCACACTAACTCTCCTCCACCTGCCTAACCCCCCTCCCAAAGTAGACATTGATAAATTGGTACCAGAAATCAAACTTCTTTGCCATCCTGTTGTAAAGATTTACCTGGCTGACATCTGACCTAGCTGACACTGCCAAGTTCTTCAGGACAGCTTGCCTAAATTTTCAACAAAGGTACAGTTACAATAAAGGGACAAGGTTTTCTACATTTTGGAGATTATAGAGTCAACTTCATCTGAGTGATTCTGAAGCTCTAAGTAAATGAAAATAGATGCCTCAAAATACACATACATGAAACATATTAGAGACAACCAAAGTAGAGGCAATTTCAGAGTCTAGTCTAAAGATGATATACAATACTTAAGAATTTCTATTCTTCCATATTCAAGTGAGACTCAAGGAAAGAAAAACAATTCTAGCCTACGTTTTCCGAACACAAAATACACTGGTAGTTTTCACTGAAATTAAACCTCAATTTTCAAATCTGTCATTCTTTATACAGGCAATAAAAAGTAGCGCTGAGTGATCCAGATAGCAGGGCAATGGGAAAGGTATTTACATGAAGACACTCAAACCCTCTGGAAAAACAGAATGAAAAGAAGCCAGTACTTACTTGGCATAGACCATTGATGCACATATCCAGAGTGTCTGTGTAGCAGCGAGTCCCATCTAAGACCTTAGGTGCGAGTTCAACAACCAGGTCTGTGCCTTTGGCCTGGCACTTGAGTGCACATGGGTTGTCAGGGTCGTTAGACACAGGAAGCCACTCATAAAACTCGCCATGGTGCTTGACATCATTATGAGCTGAGCATTGCTGAGCTCGGAAATCACCTGCTTCTGGTGGGCAGTCCTGGAGAAGGAAGTGGAGAGGGACAAATACAGGCTGAGAAGGGCACACATGTGGTCTTTCAAGGTCTTAGAAAACAGAGCAAATATTCTGGTCATATCATCCAAGAGGTCATATGATTATTTGGCCCCAAGAATGTGTAGATTTGAGAAAGTAATCAGCTTGCAGTATATTTTCTGACTGAAGTTAAATGGGAACTAAGCCAGCTTGAGATAGATCTGATTGATATTAGTTTCGAAAGTAACCACCTTGAAACATACAGTGTATTTTTGGAAAGATGTTTAGTGGCCCCATGGATTCCTCCACCTTAACAATATCATTTTTATTTCCTTATAACTTAGGTAGGACTTAGTAAAATCAGAGAGTTAGCTGAAAGCATCTCTTGATATCAAGAGCTATGACAAGATTTTAGTCCCCAAACAGCAAAAAGTTATGGTAATTTCACTCAAAAATTTTTGTGGGGTTGTTCATGAGGTTTTTTTCTCTGAAACTTAGGGTGCACAGTATCTAGAGTTAAACATGTTGGACAGAAAAAGTGAAAATAGCATGTGTACATGCATTTCTTTAGCTTAAGGCAGCATGGCAGAGTGGAAAGGTACAGATAGCCTCTTCAGATGGGAGTGTGGCTGCAAAGCGTGGGTCTCACTGATCCTAGGCTTCCTCATGTTCAGAGCAGAGGCAACCCTAGCACTCAGTTCTCAAGGTCATTCACTGTGGGCATTTCATGAGCTCATGTTGGCCAAATACTGGCACAAGGAAGATAGTACATGGTAGCTAATGCTATTTAATGAAGCTACTGAAGAGAGAGAGTTGGAGAATGAGATTTTCTGAATTTGAATATTAAATAATGTTGGCAAAGACCAGAGGGAAACAAGAATGTTTTAATGTACATTTTATAAAGGGCACTTTAAAATGTAAAACTATAGCAATCACTATTATCTAGTAAATTTGAAAGCAAATATGATTTAACTTTAAGGCGAATGTTGACTATCCCTTGTACCAGTTTTGATAGCTCCATTTTTTTCACCATGTGTTCAGATTAGAATGAACTACACAGAATATCCATCTGTAGAACGGCTTTTGTCCTAGTTTGTATCTGAAATACAGAATGAGCATGTGCTCTTTATCATTTTTGAGAGTTCTCTTATACAAGTTTTCTTTCTCTGAAAAACTCCTTACATTTAAATAAGCATTCTGAGATTAGCATTAATCTACTTTATAAAATAGAATTTTTGACACTTTAACACATTTTAGTGGTATTTAAATAGGATATAAGGCTGTAGTATTTGGGGAAGCATAATTTTTTTTGACAAGATGGGGCATAACAAAAATAGATCAAAATATAATATAAACTCTCAAAGGAATATTATTGCTAGCATTACATATGTTCTCAGAGTTAATATATAGTACTAAAGAAGAAGAAGAATTTCTAAAACCTAGATATAGAAACAGATATAGATAGATATAGCTATAGGTACCCCACAAAGCATATGTGATTTTGAATATTGCCTGAGAAAGTA